ATACAGGCTAATAGCCATCACGGCAGGGTGTAATACCAGTGTACTGTAGCTCATTCATTCTGTTTGCATAAGATCAAATGAGGTTATGAAAAATTAAAAGTATACCTCTACATGTTCTATTAAAAGTTTCTTGCTTTGATGGTTTCGTGGTTGGTTCAATTTCTATCTTATGTTTTGTATCTTCATAGGGTTCTACTTTTCGATTTCTGTCTTCAGTTGTTTTTTTCTCCTACAATTCACAGTTTAAACAAAGATAATGGTAAAAAAAAGCTGCACTTATGTTAGTGAGTGATCAATTAAATGATTTTTTTATGACTCAAGATGCTCATTTTTGGTATTTTCTGTTCTATTTAGATTATCATACATTTATTTCATATAGTAACTTTTGTCCTAACAAAAGTATCCTTAAATGTTTAAAATAGTACCACTATATTTAAAAAAAAAATGGTGCATGCAATATATCTTCAGAACACACTGAAATTAAGGATATTCGGGAAAAAAAGTTCTTGAAAATTATGGAATAAAGTATGATATAGGAGCAAACACATTAGACATGTTGAGGTTAAATGGGATCCAAATGTTTCATACCTCTAGGCATAGAGCTGCACTCTTGACTGTTCCTTGATTTTCATGATGTGAAACCTGTGCTGATTTAAAATTCTGCTTATTTACTTGTACTGATTTGCTTAAACTAACACCTGTAGAAAGAAGAGCAAGTATTAACGGGAAGCACAAGAGTTTCTGAAACAGTACAATATTTGGAAACAGGTAATACCTATAAAACCAATATTGGTATGGAAATCTATTATTTTAAACATCTCTAGCTCCAGGTATGTATTTCTTTATTCCCATAATGCAATTTTATAAAGAAACATAAGGCAGAAGAGGTCTGTAATAGCTTCTATCAAAATCTGCACAGATAAAACAGGCACCACTGGCATTCCCCAAAACACTATTCAGCTGCTGGCTAACCTCCATAAGTGCCTAAGTTTCCAGCAGAGGAGTCCTGTAGGGACCTGAGCGTCTGTCAGCACGCATACACAATGCCACTTTAGTCCTGATGTTGCCCTAGCTCATGTCTAAGATCTGCCAAGTTTCACAAACTAGGTTTTCCATGGCTTCTCACCTGACAGGTAGGAATGCTCAGAGCACGCCTAACTTACACAAAAGACAATGGTGGTGGTGTCCATTTTCCCTCTTATAACCAATAGCCCAGTGGTTAGTGCACTCACATGCAATGTGGGAGACCGAGACTCAAGTCCCCACTCTTCCTGATTTAAAGCAGGGACTTGAAGCCCCATCTTGTAGGTGGGTACCCTAATCAATGGGCTATAGGGTCATTCTCATACTCTCTCTTTGGCTCAATGAATACTTAATTATTATTCAAAGTGGGAACAGCTTCAACAGGAGAGACTGAAAGAGCCCACTGGTTAGGGCACTTATATGGGAGACCTGAGTTCAAGTCCAGCAAAGGAGGGACTGGAACCTGGGTCTTCTATAGCCTGGGTGAACACCCTAGCCTCTGGGCTATTGCCTATAACTGCCTCATGCTACCTCCTGATTTTTCATGAGAAAAAACTGAACTGGCTTAGATGCCTAACTCTGTGAATCTGAAATGGAGGAAGGCACCTAACTTCCTTTAAGAGATGGGGCCTAAGCCCCACTCCTCTCCTTGTCCTTTCCTTCTGATTAGCTTAAAGTGGCTTCCCTGCCCAGCATGCTGGCTTCTGTGAATTTATTTTTTTTAAAACTAACTCTCCCTCCATGCCTAAAAAGGGCTGTGAATTTCACCAGACAACAGGGTGCAACACCCATAGACCTTTTGAGAATCTAGCCCCAAGTGAGGGGTACAAAAACATAGCAGAAAGAAAAAAAAAAAGGTAGTCATCATGAGGGCTTCATTTATTGATCACAAAGTTGTCAGCGTTTCCTTTTCCTGATCAGAGCGTTTCTGATGTTAATAACTTAGAGTAGCAAATAAATTGGTTAAACCAGTAATGGGAGGATGCAGCGTGAGTATTTCTACATCTAGCACACTCGGTTTGAAACCAGAACATTGCTGCAGCATATAGGCGCCGACTCCGTGGGCTGGAGCAACTACCAGGGAAAAATTGGTGGGTGCTCTGCACCCACTAGCAGCTCCCCGCCCCTCCGCCCCAGCTCACCTCCGCCTCTTCCCCTGAGCATGCCACGTGCCTGCTTTTTCCCCCTGGCTCCCAGTGCTTGTGCCACGAAACAGCTGTTTCGCAGTGGCAAACGCTGGGAGGGAGGGGGGAGAAGGGGGAACGCGGCATGCTTGCGGGAAGAGGCAGGGCTGGGGTGGGGATTTGGGGAGGGGTCCAATAGAGGCAGGGAGGGCGCGGAGTTGAGGTGGGGACTTTGGGGAAGGGGTTGGAATGGGGCGGGGCTGGAGGAGTGCGAGCTCCCACCGGCGCCGGG